AGTTGAAAGTGGGTGACAAAATGCACTCGCATTGCGAACACACACACACAGCCTCTCGATAATATGGGTTTTTGCTGGCTGTAGCAGCGCTATAGCGCTGCACAGCAAAAACGCATAAAAACTCCATTTTGACTCGTCCTTTCACAACGTACCGAAATTTCATCCTCAGTGATTTTATACCGTGGTTTTTAAAATGATTTTCGCATGCAGCAATGGCAGCTAGAAAGTCGTAATTCAAAACTGAGATATGCTTTCCTTGCCGCCACCACTACATCCACAGACGTTGCAAAAACCGAAATTAATTTTTTTTTTTACACTCAATTCTCTTCACTCACAAGTTTAGGAAACAAATGACGTTCAGCTGACTGTGAGCTTCAAGTTTTTGATCATAATCTTCGCAGGTTCCTCAAAAAAAATCCTTTTTCACAATTTTGCTTCTCGATTTTTCGTTTCAGGAATTTTTTTTGGCCATATTTTCCTTAAGCTGCAGGTTACCACGTACGATAGCAAATTTTAATACATAACTTTCATTTACGTCTGGGTCTCAAATACGGCTCCACGAAAGCTTTGGCTGGAGAAATTCTTATCTCGGAAACCAGAAAAGCAAACAGGCTGAGATTATCGGTTGATGTTTTCCAATTATGCAAGGGCATCAAAAACTCAAATTTAGCTCCCATGTATGCCTAAGTTTCACGTACTGCAACGTGAAGTTTTAGCGCGAAAGTTGCTAACTCGGAAGCCGAATAACCGAGAACTTGAAATTTTGGAAGGATATTCACCGTTCATCTGCTATTCAAAGATGTTAAACTCAGCTGTCATGTGCGCCTACATTTCATGTAAAAACGACATTTTTAGTGAAAAATTTCTCAGTTTAGGAACCAAGACAACATATCGACCGCTTTTGCCCGCACCCAAATGTAAAACATTAAAAGCCCTTAACAGTAAATGTCCGCTGAATGGAACTGCGCAAAACTCGTGATTGCATAGGCTATCCTGGTGCTTGTCGCTATTTGTTCTCTTTATCCCTTCTTTAAATTCCTGATTCCGAAGTTTTTTTATTTTGAATTCTTTCCTAATATCCATTAGAAAGTTTTGAAAAAGTAATGCAGAATAAAACAATGTTTAGCGTAGGCTCTTACGCTTTAGTGACGCTCTGAACACCACAAGCTGCCTCAGTGCAAGCGCAATAATGAAACAACCACTGAATAAAGTAGTAACTATACCTGCATTCTCTCAGTCCATGCCGTTGTGCTGGACATGGTGTAAGAACAAATAAGCGTGAAAATATACACTATATTCGTAATCGTAATAAAACTACACGAATGAGCCTTTCCATAGACTGATCATTTTTATTCCACGTTTAGACGCTCAACGCAGCCGATGATCCACGATTGAGAAAACATTTGAGTGCCATAAAACAAGCGGAACAAAAGTAGTTCGTAATCGGACCAGTTTTTAATAAACCGACTGGCAAGAAGCTGACTGGCACAAAAATTAAAAGGTGATTTTCCGCTAATGCTTCCGGACATGACGTAGGGAGAATAACGCTGTTGTTGCGTAGCGGATAGAAAGTTCCACTCCGCCAGTGGGACACCTAATCCTTCTACGATTCGTTCATACATTCTGACGGCAAATTGGTCCCCCGTGTGTGCGAGAGAGCCAAGCTTGCCATCAGTTTGTCTGTAAACAATGCTCGAAAGAGAGCGCCACCGACAAACTTACGAGCGGGTGGTTGTTGCTGACATTTGCTACCTTACGTGTTGCTTTTGAGTAGTTTTGCCACCATAAAGAAATAAACATTGAGGGTCTGTACCTTTTTTGACTTAATTCAAACGTGTGTGTTTGTGTGTGTGTTTGTTAGCGTGCTTTTTGTACCTGTTGACTGCACATTTCTGTTATTATTTTCGGAAAAGCTCTAAATTCATATACTGAAGGTGAATTTTTTAGACGGCCAAACAAACGGTTACGGAAGAATTATGTGAGTGAACGACAATTCTCAACCGAATCGGTTAGCTCCTGCGGTGTCCCACATCCCGCTGACGTCGTTTTCGATCTCTATCAAAATCCGGACACAGGAACTCTGTCGCTTACGGAACTGCTGAAGGTCTTCGTTTTAATATTTTTAGGACAAAGTAATAAAGAAAGCAATTAAACTTCCTATTTTTGACGTTATGTTTTGAGCCTTGTAAGCAGCATTAGTGGCGAAAAGAAACGCGATGATAAACAGCAACTAAAGTTTTAATGAACAAGCTTTACACTATTAGTCCATGTAGCAGTTCTGGATAAAGTATATTTTTTGTATATGCACTTTTAAATATATGGTTTTAAATATATGCGTGTGTATCATAACTAACATCTTTATTATGGTATAAGAACTGGTAAATATTAAAATTTAGACTTATTCATGACCGCAAAGAAAGTACGAAAAATAGTCGTACTTTAGACAGATCGTTTTGATTCCGCAATGAATGATATCAGTCTATACTCAGGCGCTCAACGATGCCGGAATCAAGCGCGATGATCCGCGATTAGGAAAATTTTTGCATGCAGTACGATATGAGGAACTACAGCAGCCCGAAAACAACCCAACTTCTAATGAGTCGATTAGCGATCAGCTGGATCGGGAAACATTTAAAAAGTGATTTTTCGTTAAAACTGGCTGCCATGATACAGCATGAATGAAGCTGTATCCAGGTTTATTTATCCCAATACTGAGCAGGTATTAGCACATGCCAGAGAGTCAAACCCGTTATCAACTTGCTTGTACCCAACCCTCGAAACGGGGAGCTGCCGACAGTCTTGCAAGTGGGGGGTTGACATTTGCTACCGCCTGGGTTACTTTTGTGTATTTTCGTTTCTTATAAAAAAGTAAATTCTGGAGGTTTGCTCTTTTTGGCACAATTCAAAAGTATATAAGTTTGTTTGTTTGCGCATGTGGTTTTTGGGTGTTTATGTTTGTATTTTTGTGTGTGTTTACTTTTGCAAGTGTTTGTGTGTGTGAGTGTGTGTGTGCGTGTGTG